AAGAGTATATACCTCGGTTTTATGGCTGTCAACAACAGAGTATTTCATTGAACACCAGTTCATGTTTTAAATTAAAAGATGTATCCATCTGTGTATGCTGCTCGATTTATGCATCATCATTTAATAGTAAGGGACGGGCAGAATGAGGCGAAAGCATGACATGGATCAAATAACTCATAACTCGTCTAAAATCAGACCTCATAACGTTTCGCACCGTCCCTTGCTACTAGTGGCCATTTAAACGGTACCTGATGACCTGAAGAGTCAGAGTCACTTCGCATCATTTTTCTCGCTAGAGCCACCTTGCACTCATTACGAACGATGTTGTTACAGTTGGTACTATTTATGTGCTACCGCATGAAGATCAAAATGCGTTCGTACGCGGGAACGTGTCAGAATACGCATCCCTCCTCTAAGACATGAACAGATAGAACTGAGGGTCCAACCGGGACTTGCAACAGCAGCGATAGTGCGTTTCAGCTCCCTGTGCTATGCGATGTATTGAAATGTCTCTTTTGATAAATTGGCGCGTGCCGCTGTGTACTGTAGCCACAATTGCTTGTTGTTACTGTTCCTTTGGGCGCAGCTGCTCGGCGTTCATCATTTCGCCGTTTTTCCTGAAGGAGAGCGCCGTTACCTGGCTGACGCCTCGGCAGTTGGAATAAAGTCATCAACATTGCTTTATTACCCCTGTTCACAGCCGTTGAATCAATACCACTTCTGCTGAACAAAAAGAAGGCCCTGCGTTTGCTGGATGATAACGTGAGGGATTTGCAAAGTTGCAAAGTTTCGCAAAAGTGTCTAACACATATTATAGAACATAAATGGCGAAAATATTTCTGAAAATCTGCTTAGCTCATTAAATTCTCCACCAGTGATTCCTAAACTCGGAATTGTGGCGCTAATTAGATGTTCCGGGCCCTTCCAGGGACCATCAGGATTTTTGGCTAAGATTATGTAATTATAATATTACACCTTGAAACGATGGCTTAATGAAGGATTACTGAAATACCGAAAAAAGTGACTACAGGAAACTCGATTATCAGGTATGATGAACGAACACTGACAGAACGCGGATAATACCAAAACTGTTTGCTTAAAAACACTCTAATATGGTCTTAAGAAAATTTTTAGTCTGTTTTTGACTACCTCTGTACGTTTTACTTCATGATTATTCTTATTTTCTCGACGGTAGACCCTAGCATCGGTAAAACTCTTTGGTAAAAAAATAATATATGCACTGACGTTGCGCTGTGACAAAAGCTAGATTGATGAAACCGGTAGAAAACTCCGTAAACCGAATCACTAGCCATATTCCTTGCATCAATAGAGCAGATTAGAAGGGCCAACTTGAGAGAAAGAAATACCCTGGAAACAGCCACGGAGAAATGAACAAAAAACAGGGTCAACAGATCGGAAGAAACTTACGAAATCAGTCAAGCATGGCTTCCTTTTTAACGCGATTAAAGCTACAATAAATAAATGCTGTTTGAACTCGAGGTACTCACCACAAACTCATAACCATACTCTTGCAACTTTGCACTATACAAAAATTAGAATTGACCAGGGCACCAAAACAGATCTTGTCGTTCAAAACATTAGAAAACAACTACTCCAGATTTGAACCTAATCAC